TCTCTCCGTACGTGCTGCGTAATCGCGACCGGACCGTCTCGCTCTCTCTCTCTCCGTACGTGCTGCGTAATCGCGACCGGACCGTCTCGCTCTCTCTCTCTCCGTACGTGCTGCGTAATCGCGACCGGACCGTCTCGCTCTCTCTCTCTCCGTACGTGCTGCGTAATCGCGACCGGACCGTCTCGCTCTCTGTCTCTCCGTACTTGCTGCGTAATCGCGACCGGACCGTCTCGCTGTCTCTCTCTCCATTCGTGCTGCGTAATCGCGACCGGACCATCTCGCTCTCTGTCTCTCCGTACTTGCTGCGTTGTTGCGGAGGGAGTGATGTTGGCCAGTGCTCCATGTGCAGCTCTCGCCCGCTGTTCGGCCATCTCCGACACCACCACCCCCCCAGCCTCCCGCGTGCGAAAAGAGATGTGCCTCCAACCGCTCGGCGCTCCCTCCCTTCCGCATCAAACCCGCCTGTTCAATGGGACTCCTGTGGCACGGAAGCACAGGTCTGACCAACTGAGCCGTACCTTAGGAAGGACGTTCTGGCCCTGGAGGGAGCTCAGTGCATGTTTACAAGGACGATCTCTACACTTCCGGGGTCTCGATATAAGAGCTTTGTTAAACAGGAGCGTGCCATCTGTCCCCCCTCGAGCCTGCTCCACCATTCACTACAATCATGGCTGATCTTTCTCGTGGACTCAGCTCCACTTACCCCATCACCCTTAATTCCGTTACTGTTCATTAATCTATCTTTACCTTAAAAAACATGCAACGCAGTAGCCTCAGCTGGGCAGGGAATTCCACAGATTCCCAACCCTTTGGGTGAAGATGTTCCTCCTCAGCTCAGTCCTAAACCTGCTCCTCCCTTATTTTGAGGCTCTGCCCCCTCGTTCTAGTTTTACCCGCCTGTGGGAACATCCTCCCTGCTTCTCTTTTATCTATTCCCTTCATCATTTTATATCTTTCTATAAGATCCACCTCCCCCCTCCATTCTTCTAAATCCCGATGAGTATAGTCCCAGTCTCCTCAATCTCTCCTCATAACCCTGTCAACTCCGGAATAACCCAGTGAACCTCTTCTGCACCAACCTCCTGTAAGGGGGCGAGGCGAGATGAGACAGATTAGGACTTTTATGCTCTAGAATGTCGAAGTTTAAGGGAGGTGCCCCCCCCCCCAGGAAGGAGCAGAGAGGAACGATTTCAGTTTCAAAAGAACCAGCAGCAGGAGGAGGCCATTCAGCCCTTCGAGCCTGCCCCCGCCGTCGCATGCGATGGTGGCCGATCCCATCTCGGCCCTAACCCCACTTCCCTGCCCGCTCCCCGTGACCCTGCAACCCCGTTACTGATTAAAAACGTGTCCGTCTCCTCCTTATACACTTCCCTCTCGCTACCCGTGACCCTGCAACCCCGTTACTGATTAAAAATGTGTCCGTCTCCACCTTAAACACTTCCCTGCTCGCTCCTTGTGACCCTGCAACCCCGTTACTGATTAAAAATGTGTCTGTCTCCTCCTTAAACATACTCCGTTGTCCTGGCGTCCACTGCTCCCTGGATTCACTGCCCCCTTTGTGGAAGGTAATTCCTCCCCGTCTCTGTTTTAAACCTGACCCCCTAAGACCACGGCCTTTAGTTCTAGATTGTCCCAAATGGGGAAACATTCTCTCTCTGTGTCTACTTTCGCAATCCCCTTCAGCATTTTCTATTCCTCGATTCGATCTCTTTGCATTTTTGTAAACTCCAGGGAATATCAGCCAAAACTGCTCGATGTCTCTCCTCAGACAAACCCTTCGCCTCTGGGATCGATCGAGTGAGCCTCCCCAGAGCTGCCACCACTAAACTCCATTCATCCTCGAGTAAAGGGTCCAACATTGTACACAATACTCCGTTCGCGGTCTCACTAATGCCTCATAGAGTTGAAGCAACACTTTCCTGCTTTTATACTGCATTCCTTTAGCAATAGATGCTTAAATTCCACATGCCGTCCTTATTAACCTGCTGTACCTAACAGAGGGACCTGAGAAACAGAAGTTGCTGGAAAAGCTCAGCAGGCCTGGCAGCATCGGCGAAGAGAGAATCAGAGTTTAACATTTCGGGTCTGGTGACCCTTCCTCAACCCGGACCCAAAACGTTAACCTCTGATTTTCTCTTCCCCGATTCTGCCAGACCTGCTGAGCTTTTCCAGCGACTTCTTCTGTTTTTGCTCCTGATTTACGGTGTCCGCAGGCCTTTCGGTTTCTGTTTCCGGGGACCTGAGAGGTCTTGCGTTGTTCTCCTTTTGAGCACAAGAGGGTTAAAGCAGAGTTTAACCAGGTCGTGCGATATTGGGAGACCAGGTCCGGGTAGACCTCCCAGGGAGAAAGTGTTTCAGATGACAGACGGCTCGAAAACATCGTGTTGGATCCGGATCAACCACTGGTCCCCAGCTGAACCTGGAGCAATGTCTCCCATACTGCAGCACAGATGCGAGGGGGGAGGCTGTGGCCTAGTGGAATTGGCAGTAACCTATTCATCCCTGGTAATGTCCTGGGGACCCGGGTTTGAATCCCGCGACGGCAGATGGTGGAATTTGAATTCAATTAGGATAAAAAAAATGGAATTAATGATGACATTGTTGGGGAAAAACCCATCTGGTTCACTAATGTCCTTTAGGGAAGGATACTGCCATCCTTACCTGGTCTGGGCCTACATGTGACTCCAGACCCCACAGCTTAGCTTCCCCTCTGGGGCAACTAGGGATGGGATAATAAATGCTGCTCCCAGCCAGCGACACCGCTCATCCCGTGAATTAATTTTTAATAAAAAGCGCAGAAAACCCCCAGGGGTCTGGTCTCGGGGTCGTGTTACCCCTGACAGACTGGAGAAGTCGGTGGGGGGAGACGGTGGAAGGGTTCACCAGGAGTCTGGATGGATCTGAGGGGTGGATGGGTGGGTGGGAGGCCGTGCTTCCGACTGGAAAGGAGAGGGCACAAGAGGGAGAAACGGGGAGCGTGGGGGTAACCCCTCTGCCCGCACCAAGTGGCCAGGAGCTGGAAGGCAGTGCCCGAGAGTGTGGAGTGGGGGTGGGAGCCACGGGGCGTGGAGGTGTTCGAGGCAGGATCAGGTGGGCAGCGAGGGGTAAGAGACAGAAGTCAGCAGAGGGGCACGGCCAGTTCGATCACACTGGCAACAGACGCGACGGGGTGAACGGTCTCCTGTGGAACCATTCCAGACAAATACTCAAGAATGAAACGGTGTCAGGGTCCCTCTGTCTCTCTCGCGTCCCCCTCCCTGGGCAGAGGCAGGGGCCAGCTGCGCAGTTCCTTCACACACTTGGCACAGGCACAGCGGGCAACAGTGGACGGTCTGGTGCTCGGCGTGACTCTGTTCGCAGTCCAAAGCACAGTTGTTTAAATTGGTGTGATCCCAACCCATTTACGGGAAAGAATTCCTCATCCCGGCTGTTGAAGGGAACAGAGGCAGGCCCCGAAGCCCATTGGGGTGGGAGGGAGACTCGGCTTTATTCGGAAAAAGGTGAAATGACCACAGCGTGACAGTGTGGGGGTTTAGCACAGCGTTCAGGGTGATTTTTATTTGCTGTTGATGACCAGATGGGGTCACGTTTACTCAGCACGGTGAATCCAAAAGCCTCATGTATCCTTTCCAGTCACTGTCGGTGGAAGAGTCCCTCGTTAAAAAACGCTCGTTCATATAATAATGCTTACAAGGGACTCTGACGGAGAGACTCCCTCTCTAACGGGGGGTCCCTGACGGAGAGAC